CTCCTGCTCCTGCTCCTGCTCCTGCTCCTGCTCCTGCTCCTGCTCCTCCTCCTGCTCCTCCTCCTACTGCTGCTGCTCCTACTGCTACTCCTACTGCTGCTGCTGATACTTCGACTGCTACTACTACTACTACTCCTCCTACTCCTCCTGCTCCTGCTCCTGCTCCTGCTCCTGCTCCTCCTCCTACTGCTGCTGCTCCTACTGCCGCTGCTCCTACAGCTACTACTGCTGCTGCTGCTGATACTTCGACGACGACGACTACTACTACTACCACTACCACTACCACTACCACTACTACTACTACTACTACTACTACTACTACTACTACTAGTACTACTACTAGTACTACTACTCCTGCTTTGGGGGGTGGCTCTGCCACAAAACTCTACCCCGCAAAAGACGAAAATTTGGCGAAAGGTCAGCTCAAGATTGGCGAAAGTTCACATTATGAGTAAGTCTGAGCGACCGGCTGCTACAGTGATAAAGTTTGGCTACTACAGGAAGGCGAAAGTTTGGCTAAAGTAAATTGGTTTTGGCTAAGAATGACGGATCCCAGATAAAGGAACTTAGATCAAAACACACACACTTAGGATAGGGTGTACTGAACTGAAAGCGGTGCCACACGCCAACCTAGGTTTTAAAAAACCTGAGTAAAACAAGGTGCAAAAGTTGGAGGTCATCGCTCTTAGGTTAGAGGCCATCGAAGGCAGGTTGAGAGGCCATCGCTAGGAGGTTGGTGACAAGAAACCACAAGACAGCAAAGCAGTCAAGGTTGGAGGTCTTTGCTCTTAGGTTGGAGGCCGTCGAAGGCAGGTTGAAGGGCCATCGCTAGTAGGTTGGAGACAAGAAACCACAAGACAGCAAAGCGGTCAAAGTTGGAGGTCTTCGCTCTTAGGTTGGAGGCCGTCGAAGGCAGGTTGAGGGGCCATCGCTAGTAGGTTGGAGACACGAAACCACAAGACAGCAAAGCGGTCAAAGTTGGAGGTCTTCGCTCTTAGGTTGGAGGCCGTCGAAGGCAGGTTGAGGGCCATCGCTAGTAGGTGACAAGAAGCACAAGACAAACAAGACAGCAAAACAGCAAAAGTTGGGGGTCCATTCTAGTGGGTGGAGGCCAAAGTTCAGGTTAAAGAACCCCTTACAAAGTTTGGAGCAACCTATAGGGTAGTCTAGAGGAGAACAGAAGGAAAGGCACCGACGCACAAGTGTGTCGAGTACCATTTCCTCCTGTTCTCCTAAGTAGTGGAACAGGTACACATGGAGACGCCCCCACTGTATCAGCACCTGCTGGCATCCTCTTCGTTGGACGGGAAATGCCAGAGGTGTCCCGTCCCCCTGTTCCAAACCTTAAGGTTCCCTTTGATTCCAAGGGTTACGCACACACGCCTCCCCGAAGGGAGGCATGTGTGGCCTCCATCCTGCCCGGAAAGGAGGTGGGCACATGTGCACGCAAAAGGGACAGATGAAAATGAAAAGGACGAGACAGACAAAGGTGTGTGTGGTTGCCGATGAAAAGGAACCAAGTGAAGAGGGACAACCGATGAGCCAAACCTCATTGTAACGAACCTGGGCCACCTGAACCTCGTTGTAAGTAGACGCGTGCGTGTATGTGTGCAAACTAAGGTCCGGACGAAAGTACGCGCAAGAGAAAGAAAGGGTGAGGATGAAGAGGCATGAAGACAGAAAGACATGAAAGAAAAGAGGGAAAAACATGTCGGTGGGGGCCGATGAAAGGGAAACCAAATGAACGGGGACAAACCGATGACAGCCCAAACCTCATTAGAAAAACCTGTTGCAGAAGCCTAGTTTGCTTGTAAACACGCCGCGCGCGAGGAAAGAGGGGGGAGGTGAGGAGGAAAAGAGAAGGAGGGAGAGAAGGAAGTAGGTGTTCCCAGCTACGACACAAGCGTCCAAGGACACACCAAAAAGGAAGGGCTCCCAGCTATGACGAAGCATCCAGGGACACCCAAGGAAGAGGGTGAAGAGAGGAAAGAGAGAAGCGAAGAAAGAGAGAGGGAGAGGAAGGGAGAGGAGAGAAAAGGAAAAGGCAGGTGCTCCCAGCTACGAACAGTCGTCCAGGGACACACCACAGAAAGAAAGGGGTGATCCTGAGTATTGCGTTCAGGAAACCCAAAAAGCAAAGAAAGAAAGGAGGAGGGAAGGGGAGGGGGGGGGGGCTAAGCTCGCGACAGGTTCCAATGAACCTTGAACCAACTTCGGTCGCTGCGACCACGTACGGCATGCCGCCACCTCTGACCGCTGCGGTCACGTAAAGGCATGAGCCAACTTAGAATTCAAAAATGAGACAGACATCCCACTTCTTGTGGCGTAAGCCATCTGCTGTCCGCTCCGGACACTTACATCTCCGGGCAGGGGAGATAACGACAAACCCCCGTTCGACGGGTCCACGGGAGGCACTCTACGGGCTCATCCCGGGTTGGCGCGAAGCCAAACGCACTTAGAATAGGGTGTACTGAACTGAAAGCGGTGCCACACGCCAACCTAGGTTAAAAAAACTTGAGTAAAACAAGGTGCAAAAGTTGGAGGTCATCGCTCTTAGGTTAGAGGCCATCGAAGGCAGGTTGAGAGGCCATCGCTAGGAGGTTGGTGACAAGAAACCACAAGACAGCAAAGCAGTCAAGGTTGGAGGTCGTTGCTCTTAGGTTGGAGGCCGTCGAAGGCAGGTTGAAGGGCCATCGCTAGTAGGTTGGAGACACGAAACCACAAGACAGCAAAGCGGTCAAAGTTGGAGGTCTTCGCTCTTAGGTTGGAGGCCGTTGAAGGCAGGTTGAGGGGCCATCGCTAGTAGGTTGGAGACACGAAACCACAAGACAGCAAAGCGGTCAAAGTTGGAGGTCTTCGCTCTTAGGTTGGAGGCCGTCGAAGGCAGGTTGGGGGCCATCGCTAGTAGGTGACAAGAAGCACAAGACAAACAAGACAGCAAAACAGCAAAAGTTGGGGGTCATTCTAGTGGGTGGAGGCCAAAGTTCAGGTTGAAGAACCCCTTACAAAGTTTTGAGGCCTACCTGCAACCTATAGGGTAGTCTAGAGGAGAACAGAAGGAAAGGCACCGACACGCAAGTGTGTCGAGTACCATTTCCTCCTGTTCTCCTAAGTAGTGGAACAGGTACACAGTGGGGCGTCCCCCACTGTATCAGCACCTGCTGGCATCCTTTTCGTTGGACGGGAAATGCCAGAGGTGTCCCGTCCCCCTGTTCCAAACCTTAAGGTTCCCTTTGATTCCAAGGGTTACACACACACACACATATATATATATATACATTACAATATTGTAATGATATTTTTGAGATTCTTTAGATTGTATAATATTTTTGTATATGTATATAGACGATTCTATACGTACATCGTATACTCGTTTCACCTCAAACAACGAAAGCCAATCGAAAACATTACCCCAGGTGGCACACGACCCATGATGCATTTCCGGGTGGCGCACCGGTGCCCGTAGCGCTGCAACCACCGGGTGCCGTACCACATTTGGTGGAGTTTCATCACCAACGCGGACACTGAGCAGCAGATGCAGGATGCATCCGGAATCCAGTTACCAGGATTGCTCCAATGAGGCAGACCTGTTGGGGCCTGTTGGGGCCAAAAACCCTCAACTGATGACCTGTCGGAGGGGGGTTTGGTAGGATCTGGTCGGTATTTTTCGAGCGGTTCCTAGGCAGTAGGTACACCAGTGTGTAGATCAGGGCCAGCAGATGGAACCATAAAAATCATCGGTAGGCATGCCTACCTGCGCCGGCTTTTTGAGTGGTTGCTTCCATGTCCCCAACCAGTCCGAATCATGGAACCTTGCAACCTTTGTTACGTCTTTGTTAACCTTTAAAACGGTGCAAGTTTGCGAGGCCTTCGAAAAGCTCTAGGCCCAAATTTCCACACAATGTAATGATATCCTTTCGTGTTTTCCTCAGCAAAGAACGACCCGGGTTCGCCCCGTGCTCCGCGCGTTCGCTCGTCCACTGAGGCAAACTGAGTGTCGATGAATCTTGCAGAGTTGCATCGGTCGATGGGATGTATGTGAACTGGACCTTTCATCGCCTTGAACCGCAGCGAATGGGGGAGAAAACACAGGACACGGAGACATGCAGACATAAGTTGACGACATCCGCCTAAGCGATTTGCCCAAGCGAGCACGAGACATCAAGCGATCAAACAAACCATGTTCTTCCTGCCCAAGACAAGGAAACATGTAGGTGACATGCGCACACTTGTGTGCACCATGTTCAGGAGAGTATCTCCATTGACACAGAGATCGCCATCTCATTGGGTGGTGACGAGTCTACCTCATACTTGGCCAGGGGCCAATTATTGGAGTTTGTCACAAGAAGCAGATCCCAAAATTGTAGTAATGGCCTCCAACCTGCTTGCGATGGCCTCCACCCTAACAGCGTCCTAATTGTGCATGGACAAAATTGGTGCATTGGATCCTCAAAACAGCACTCCCCAGGTCGAGCCAAACGCCTTTCTGCACTGTTGGGTACGACCTGAGCGATACTACGTGGCCTTGCAGGCACACACGTGCTACATGCGTTCTTTTTGTCACCAGCTGGCCATTTTCTCAATTGAGCAGCACCAGGCTGCCCTGGATGCACCACCGCCACGTCCTTCCCAGGGGACTTGGGAGGACATTCACTCTGTGGAAGCCGGAACTACCAAAAGTACGAAACATCGCTTTCCCAAACCATCCGGAAGTCTTCAGGACCCGCAGCGAATCGGCCCCTTAAAAAAGACACCTTTCTGTTTTCCTCTTGGGAAACATCTATCCGCTCCAGCCATTTGTTTCGCTCCATGCTCAGGAGGAGATCATGTCACTGACGACCAGTAACGACTGCCCCTGCTATGGTGGCTTTGCATGTCGAAGGGGTGATGGAGCCTGCGAGCAGCTGGCGAAGCAATCGGCCGGGAGCGGCGAGGAGTGGCTTACACAGCAGGGTTGGCAGCTGCAGAGTTGAGATGATCTCACGTCGAGTTGTGCGAGTGGATACGCTGCTACATGTTCATACCGCAGCTACATGTGTGCGCGGAACTTTTTTCCGGATTGGGGAACACCTCCAGAGAATCAAGCTATTTTGGTGCGAAACTCTGGGTCAGAAAGTTGAGGTTTTGAATGATTTTGACCCATGCATAGGACATGTTCCCAAGAAAGAAATGGCTGTGGGTCATGGCACCCGTGGCCCTAAACCATCTTTTGAAGAAATTTCTGTCAAAAAGAGACTCAACCAGGGGTCACAAAGAGTGGTTTTTAGTGCCATCCAGTGAGTGGAGTAGCTGGGCACCCCTAACCTCCATTAAGCACCCCTTTGTGACTGCTGGAAAAAGAGATGCGATTTTTGTGATAAACATTTCGTCGCTTTTGGAGGGACCGTGATTTTGGACCAGCATTCCTTGTAGGAGCCCTCCTAGATATGCCGTCTGTGTAAATTAGTAGCTGCTGCTTTTACTTCGCGAGATACCGCGTGGTTAATTCACAGCTAGTTTCGTTCCGTTTTAGTGAACAACACGACTACCCCACTCTTACCGCACCCGCCTATAGAGGGCAAGGGACGCGTAAAAACGAAGCGCCAGACCGATGTTGCGTCTTCGACCGATGCCCATTTCACCCTGGTAAGTTGACCTCTGTAGTTGTTTATTCTGTTCATTTTCCGTGGTCAACCATGTCCCGCCATGACCCACAATGGAAAGACCATGAAAGACCTAGCTTTGTCCTCGGGCCAATTCGCCACCATAGGAGCTCCTTGCGTGTCGCCCTGGGTCCACCTTTTGTCGAGAGGCCCGGGAAAAGTGGAAGACCTGTGGAACATGTAAACAAATCAAAGCAGTGTCGAATGATGCTCAACTCTGATGAAAGGTTCCAGCTGACATAGAGCCTGCGCGTTCCAATTTCGCTGCAGCGCCGGACGTTTGTGGATTCTACTTCTACAGGAGGCTCTTCAGTCTTCGACCGAATTTGTGCTACAAGCTGCATGGGCCTAACTTAAGGATCACAAAGGCACTCACAAAGGCATGTGTTGACGCCGACCGTTGGGTTGATATGTTTCAGCCGTCTCAGGGCAGCTGCAGATGGACATCTTGATGCCATGCACGTCCGTGTCTCAGAGCGATCGCAACAAACACAGCGTCCGAAAAAACACGACCACGACGCGTCCCGGTTCAGGTCTTGTCACACGCATACAGCAACGGTCACCGTGGTGCACCCAAAGATGCCGCAGAGGTGGGGAAGAGAAAACAAAGACGTGCATGACGTGCAGACGTGAAGACGAACGTGTAACACGTTTTAATCTTTTTTGTATAACTGTATAGTGACTTAGTGACACTTATAGATTCTTATTTAGTTCATGAATATTAATATATGCGAATAATATACAATTTATGTGTGCGAAATTGAGGAGCCACCAAAAGCGATGACCAATATGCAAAGGGTGGTCATGAATTCTCTGGAATTGGGTTAAAACTGCAAAAGTGAGATAGGCCCACCTCCCAAAAGCGATGATGCAGTTTTGACAGGTTTGGCTGTGTTGAAAGTGTGGTTGGGGCTCGAAACAGAGATGCGCCTCCCTCAAAAACGAACACCTTGCCACCGGTTTTGACAGATGTTCAATTGATGTCAGAATAGATAGAGCATTGATAGAGCATATTTTATAGTCGCTGCATTTGGATGCATTTGGTACCATTGCCTCTAGTTAATTCATGTTGCAAAACGCATTTCTTTTTGCAAGCTTTTAGCGCACAAAACGGACATTTTTGTCCTGTCACCTCATCCTCTTCGCGTCCAACGCCGCGGCGACGTCGAAGCGCCTGCGCAGGCCTTCGCTTGGAGCGCCGCGGCGGCGGCCCGCGGCGACCTGCGCGGGCGCTTCGACGTCGCGTACAGCCTGGAGTTCGGGCTGGGCACCGTGGCGGATCCGGTGACCTGGAGGAAGGCGGTGGCGGGGTGGGGCTTTGAAAGAACCTCTAGAACGGAGCTATATTAGGTTAGACGCTCCTTATACTGTATATACTTAGTAGGGGGCGGGAATCGTTGGGATCCGATGAAGATTCGACCCAGATGGAACGTCTTATTGGACGAGAGAATCCCCGCGAGAGAGATGCATTTGCACGCGAGAGTGCACTATCAGCGGTGGTAGCAAATAGTGGTAACAAGATGTAACAAGTATATAAATACTGGAGCCTGAAACAGGGATCGATCGAATTGCTACTTTGCAGACAAGATGAGCATCCTGATGGCTGGATGGATGTTTTATTTTTCTGGCATGGAAAAGGCCGTTCTGAACAGCTTAAGCATGAACAAGACAGTCTAATGATTCGTGTTTGCCAACCCCATTCCATCCGGGAGAAAACGTCTTGACGGTTCCGAGTCTTGACTTGGATGAGACGTCCGCTTTCTTGGAAGCCACCGGACAAAAAATAACGGCAGATTCTGACAAGCTGATTGCAAAGACAAGACTACAAGAACGTTGATTCTGACGCTGTTGGATTGGGGAAAGATGCCCCCAGAAGTGAACCTCATGTCGAGTAGGACTGCACGGTGCCTCTTTCAGCACACAGATCAGGAGCGTGCTTCGCAGATGTATCGGGAGATTCTGACAGATCAGGCCGCGAGCCTAAAGTGCAGAAGTATCGGCTTGTACATGCTTGTACAATGAGCAAATCCTCAACTTGCCTGAACCCGGGAAGCAAGCAAAGAAGTCTTAGAAGTGTTGAGTCTTGATTCTCAACTAGCGTCAGCTAGTTTAACCTGATCAACATTATCAACTTGAGAAATCGTTTCTCAAGCTTTCCTTTCGTTGACTCTTGGAATTTTGCAGGGCTGGGATGGCGATTCGATGGTGGGCAAAGCAGCCGCTTCCTTCCTGTCGCTTCTGGCGTCATCGGGCCGCTATGCAAGCAGCTGCTCGACAGGAAATCCAGAACGTTCATAATTGCTAAGGGCTTGATGGTTGAAGATGACCATTTCCTATTTTTCTATGTGTCCAATTTTCTCTCATAGTTGATAGTTTAAGGCGATTTTTATGCCATGATTGAATGGCTGCTGTATTTATTGTTTACTGCTCAGGACTTTTACACTCGACCTGAACATTCCGATCTTCTCGTCACGAAGAACGACCTGCCGAGTGCCTCATGGCCCCTGCAAGTGCTGGCCCAAGGATCCTGAAGCGATGTGACTAGAGGGGAGGATCCAATCTCAAGAGCAAGTGCTTTGGCGCTGCTCAACAATCTATGACTAAGATTGACGAAGCAGAAAGACACCTTCAAATGATGCATGACACACGTGCGATTTGTCACCTTGTGCCCTTGTGATTTTGCCAATAACAAGACGCAAGCAGACTTGCACCTTTAAAGTCTTGAAGCATCCTGAAATTACAACTGGCAAGGCAGGCCTCCTCCTCATCCCTTGTCACTCTCAATAACATGTCAAAATATATTACACAATGACGATGAAGGCCTTCACGAAAAGACACATGCGCGCCTGCACCTGCACGCCGTTACCGCCCAACTGCATGGCTTGGCATTGCGGACGCGAGGGTTTTTCTTGGTCGAAGCGGCCTGTGCAGAAAACATACGTTTGTTTCAATTGAGACATTCATTTCACCTGGATCCCGTCAGTCTGATGGCTGTACAATGATCACTAGACCCTTCATGAGCTCTCCAAGGTTGACGAGCCTTCAGAAGTAGATGTTCATGCATGTTCATGTCGTAAGCTAAATGCAACCCTTCCAAGAACAAAGATAGAAAGTGATTGGATAGATCCCCCGACCACCTGACTGCAGGTTTAGGCCGTAGTCCTTAGTTGCGCACCGGAGCTTCCGATCGCTCTTGGCCCCCTCGCCTCCCCCCCAGGTGCTCTTCGTTCCGCGCATCTCCGGTCCGACCTCCGGCGCAACGCCCGCCTGGAGGAGGCGCCTTCCAAGGGCGGCGTGGTCCTTTGCGGAGCTCTGTTCAGCTCCTGCCTGGTCTGGGTAAAACCTGTAACAGCCTGCCTGAAATTGACATGACGGACCCCCCCAAATCCCCCAGCAAGCCCCAGCAGTTTGGAGCAAGGGCGTCGCACCCTCAGTCAGGAAATTTAAGCACAGCGCCCAAACGCAGAAGATGCAGATGCTCACGCAGATGCTCTCAAAGCGTGCAGATGCGTCAGCGCACGTGCTTCAATCGAAAGCTGGAGCTAGAATATCCCCAGCTAATTTGACCCTCCCCATCCACCTGCCTATCAGCACCCACCTTGTCCACATCACCGTGCAGCGGCGTCACGGCGTCGCCGGCGCGTAGACAAAACGCCGTGTACGTCCAGGTCACGGCGTGTCACGGAAATGCCTTCTCGTCGTGTCGCGGCGTGTCACCTCGCGTTTTCGGTGGCGTATCACTGCCCACTCCTTTACTACGAACGGAGCAAGGTTCGCTACTAGGTAACAAAGGGCATCGCTACGAACGGAGCGATCGGACGCTACTAGAGGCTCCTGGCCTTACTACTAGGAACAAAAACACTACTAGCAACTTATGGAGGTCACCTTGTAGTGGCCTTGCGGCGCCTCTGCACCTGTGCCTTGTCCAGGTCACCGTTTCGCGGCCCGCGGCGTTTCCCCGGTGCAAGTCGCTTATGCAGACACGCGCAAGTCGCATGCACGCATACGTACGCGTTGGGTGATTTTGGACGAAGGATTTCACAAAGGGGATCTTACACAAATGGATGAAATTATCATTTAAGACCACAAGCAATGAATTGCAACACACATCAAGACTCTCTGGGGAAAGTCATCAGATCCCAATGGGGAAAAACAAGGAAAAACAATCGATGGAACTGTATATGGCGTTGAGTTGAGAGGGCCTCTCAGCTGTAAAGGTGCATATACAGTGATATTATGTTCAACCCACAGTAGATGTGCGAAGAAGCTCATGTCATGGACTTGAGAGAAGGGAACGTATTTTCAAGACATAGTGTGTGTTATCAAAATGATGAGGTTCCACCCAATCATTCTTTGAGGACATATTTATACAAGAAACTCTAAAAGAACAGCTAGGTTTGTTTCTTTTTTAAGCGATATATATCCCTAACACGATCCTGCCAGTCCACCGATGTTTGTATGATCACTTGACCCTTCACGAGCTGTCCAACACTGACAGCTATTCAAAACTGGATGTTCATGTGGCAAGGTAACCACAGCCCTTCCAAGAACAAAGATAGAAACTTGTGACTGAACAACTTAGTCTCGAGGTGTACCAATCCGGGCACGGCCGGGTCTTCGTTTCCACCCCGATAGGCGGCGGCGACAAAGTCTTGTCAGCGTGCCAAAAGGGGCACGTTCAGTTCATGTGCAGAAGGTGTTGCAGGCATTTGCAGATGGTGTTCTAGGGCAGGGCAGATTCAGGATGCTTCAAGTATCAGCTGGTCCAACATTATCCTGCGTGTTTTTGGATTGTGTCCGCAGCCATTGAGGCATGAGCAATTCATGCCCATTTGAGAGAGATGGCTGCCTACCAAGCCATTTTCATTACGAGAGATGCATTGCATTCCATGTGTTGATCCCTAAATGGATTAGACGATCAACTTCACATCCTCCCATCGCTACTCAACAACTCCACTCCCACGTCCCTCCCATCGCTCCGCTTTGCCGACTCAGCTGCGAAGATGCGGGCGGATGGGCCGTGGAGTTGAGAACTGGTTTTGCTGGGCCCTTGGTGCCAGGGGTGGGACATTGACCTCTAGCTATGGGACACCCCGATGGCCCTAGCAGGCCCTGGCAGCTTTTGCGCCAGATCCCTCCAGCTTGTCAACATGACAATCGATGTTTGATCTTCATTTTTCTGGCCGCTTTCTGAAGTGTTGGGATTGGGCACGGCTTATTCGCTCGATGTGAGGTGGTGGTGCCTTGATTTGGCTGGTTTTGCTTTGTGTGGAAGGCAGGACCGGCAGGACCTGCAATTGAAGACATGCAGACTTCGAGCTGTTCAAGCACCAAGATGTTTTTTTTAGGTGGTGCGAGTGATGACCTAGTTGTGCGTCAATCTCATGGCAAGGGGGTGTGATCCTGAGTCAGAGCTGCTTCTCAAAGCATCACAAGGAGAGAGATTCCATGACAGAACCAGAAAGGCACAGCTTATTTCACTTGGCAAGATGAACAACGATGTCATCAATGACGTCGTAACTTATGCCCTCCCTCCAAGAAACATGGTTACATGGAGTTCACTCCCAGTTTTGGATCGTTTTGGTACTCAGACAATGGTCTACAACCAGGGGCCATTGCCATCCGCGGAACCATCGACTGGTTTCCAAGACTTTGATCTAAATCTGATGTCTTTGACGCTCCGCACCCTAGCAAAACTCCGTATCACAGCAGAGGTGCAGCCAAAATACCATGGCCAGTGGCTCTATAGACACCAGACCATATCGGCCCTCTGAACTGCTCGGAGTGAGGCGAAACGCCCCAAAGGTGCCCTTGCCGTGAGCCGTGACATTGAACGACGAGTGGTTGAGGCCGCGAAGGGTTGAGCCGCGACTGCAGTGCGAACGGGGCGCGACTGCTGTGGTTTTGGATCGAAACACGCCTTGCATGGAAGAAGTGAAATATCTTGACCGTTTTAAAGGCACGAAAGCGGGGATATGGACCGAAGGTGGCGTTGGTATATCTAATTAAATATATAGTCAAGTTGCAGAACTTCCCACACACACACACACAGAGCTTTGAGGCGGGCGGCAACACAGAAGGTGTTTTGCTCTCAGCTCAGGCAGCTAATAACAAGGTTCTGATCCTACAGGTTGGCACACCTTTGAGGCTTCGTTCATTCGTATCTCCGACTTGCTGGAAGACGCGCGCCGACAGGTCGACGCGCAGTTTCTTCGACAGACGTGCGCCAAACTCTCCGAGGTCATGGTCGTGTCCTTGTCGTGGGCATCAGCTGATGACCTCGACTTGCACGTCGTGCTGCCAGGCGAAGGTTGTTTCGGTGGACGATGCGATTTCTGTTGCAGGTCAAAATCATTCAAAACGCTCGCTGGGTTTGTAGGGTGAGCCCCAACTGGTGAGCCCCCAGCTGTATGAAAGCGAGAGTGGATGCGATGCAAAGACGAGGTGGAGAGGAGATCAGCTACAAGCGAAAGAAGGCCGCTGGCGGTGAACTGGATGTTGACATGTGCTTGCTTCTCAGGGGAGAGGATTGAAAAAAAACAGCGAGAGTTCTTCGTTTTCACATCAATTTGCATGACACAATGAGGTGTTCAAGGCAGACATAGTGGCTGGTGGCCCAAGCTATTTGGGTCGTTGGCGAATTCCGTGGACGCCGCCGCGCATGGCCCGGGTCCGTGCCGGACCGACGCCTAGGCAAATGCGCCGAGCGACCGGTGGAAAACGTGGTCTTTGACTATGAGCCACCAGCAGGGTGGGCCACCGAGACCGAGGTGACTGTGAAAGGCAGTTAGTTTGTGTATTTGTTCCTTTTTTTCTGTGACAACTGTGAGAATATCTAATTGTTCTGCGCAAAAGCTTTAGGCGCTACAAGATCTTTGTGCAGAACTTCAACTACCACCTCAACACCCTTCCAGAGAACATGCAAGTGGCAAGGATGCAGGATATGTTTTTCTTTCCCAAAGCATTCAACGGATGCCTTGGAGCCATCAGTAGACTTCAGGGCATGTCTGGTGTTTTGTTCTGGTGTTTTCAGAGCAACGAGTTTGTCGCAGGAGGGAATCAAGACTTCGAAAGAAGAGAGGGAGCTGCGCTTGAGCCCCGCAGTCTTACTTTGGCAACACCGACGGCGACGGAGGAAGAAATCCGGAACACCGGTCAATACGTATATCTGTCGATTGTTAGAGAGCTGCCTGGCCGAACTAAGTTGCGCCCGAAATAACTACACTTTCTAGAGAATCTAGAGAACAGGACAGCACTGCTGAAGCTGTCTTCAATGCAGTTGTTGCCAAAGATGCTTACTCAGCGCAGAAAGCGCATTCGTGCGCCAGGTCAAAATCGACCTGTCTTGTTTGACTTGCTTGTCAAGGCAGGCTGAAGCGCAGTGATGGCAAAAGTACACTTCTCGACGGCCAACACCCTGACACTCCATGTATGGCACATTTACCTACGCTGGGTTGGTTTCAGGGGTCACCTCAGGCGTATATATTCCATACATGGAGTGTTTGAGACACGGAAGTGGAACATGGACCTTTGAACAGTCTTGGACAACTACCTCGAACTCTACCAAGCTTGTTCCTGTTTTTCTTCCACTTACGCCTTACGCGTGCATGTCATTATATACATCATTGCCCATGCCAAGGGTGTAAGCTCGTGACGAAGCACTTCGAAGGTACATGGAGTGAAGAAGCTCTTCGAAGGCTTGTGTACGTTCTCACCCTAGAGAGTCAAAGAAACACGAAGAACACGGCGCGGTTGGAGCTCCAAGCTCGAACGCCGAAGTTTGGAAGCCTCGAAGGCGCATGATGCACGATGAACGAGGGACTGAAAGCAGACCCAAACAGGGCGGTTTGGGGAGGCGTAGGTATGCCTGCATGGAGTCTGAAGTGTTTGGTGACCTACGAGGTGTCAACTGGTCCAGTGCAGGTGTCGAGATCCACGTCACGAAAAGCACGGTGGGTCGGCGGTGCATTTAGACCCATTTTGTGATCCGAATGAGACCAGGAAAAGTAGACACCGGAAATCACTATGTCACACTATATACACATCACTATACACTAAGTGCACCATGTGCAACATCCACTGAAGCCATCTCAAGCCGGGTGACCGTGTCAACATCGGTCAGAAGGCCACCATATGCCGCCCGATTCATTCAAACAACCATCCTTCTGGCGAAAAAGCGCCATACACCAGGAGTTCTGATAAAAGGACGCCAGAAACTATACATGGGTTTCTTGGGTCCCTATATTCTATTGCGTCTATTGCACACCTTTTTTGCCGCTTCTTGGCAGAGAAGTAGAAAGTAGTGTGGCAGAGAGTAAACTTACTGAGAATGCCTTTGGCCTTCCCAAACTAGGTTCTTGCACATGCTTTCACTCAGGCCGACGGGAAAAACACTCGCCTCCAGTGATGCCGAAACCCAAGTGATGGATTGAGCTTTGGGAGAAGCACTGCCTTCTGCAGACTGCGTTCACTCAAGAGTCGGTGAAGAACACATATTTTTTGGCTCTTTAGGTGCGGGTCATTGAGTTTGACTACGATCCGCAGGACGACAATTGTTTTTGTGGGGTGACATTTTCCGCAAATTACCTTCCTGGTCGGTGCACCAGGAGGAAAGCTTCACCACGGACTTCGAAGCTTCTCCAAGTCCTGAGTGCATCTCACTTAGTGTTTCGTTTTTTTTTGCGACGGAAACCGGAAGGGGAAGGTATACCGGACATGACCCGCCGCGGTTGTGGCCTATCTTCAGAGGGGAAACCACCAGCCAGTCTGGAAACTGGTTATCCAGAAGGATCCGTGAAGGACTTGGAAGTCGCGTTGAGCGAAGCGAAACGACAGGAGTCATCTGAATGCGTATGATGCGTACGATCGGCTGCTATGGAAAGCGTGGTGCTCAGGTACACAGTACACCGAGAAGCTGAAACTGGCTGCCCCAGAGGTGCTTTTGTTTTGGGCATGAGAAAAAAGATGAGAAAAGGACACACTCTGACACTTGTATTCAGTGACTCAATTACCACGATGGGAA